ATCTAGTCGACTTCCTCTATAGAAATAGCTCTAGTAAGGAGTTATATATTTCGCAGATTTCGAGATATAATTACTTATTAAACTATTTTTTTTAAGAGTAAAGAAATTAGCTTATAAGGTATTTATTAGTAAGTAATAAGATAATAGAATAAATTAGTATATTATAAAACCATAATATTAAATTTAGTATAGAACTAATCTCTATTCCTTCTATAAGGTCTAGGGAAGCCTTTTCTAAATAAGAGGCCCTAATAATATATATATAATTAGTAATTTATAAGCCTAATATATATAATATAAATAGTAATTAGTTAGGATATTAAAGAGCCGCTAATCTCTCTAATTAATACCTATAATATCCGAGGTTTATTATATGCCCTTAAGTTATATATAACCCTATATATATTATATAATTCATATTCTTATTTTAGGAAACTATTACTATAATAAAATTATACTAGCTAATATATATAATAATTTATATAAAATAACTCTATTAACTAATATTAATAAGACTATTTTTATTTATTACTTTTAAATAACTTATAAAAATATTCTAGAATATTACTATTTTAATACTTTATTTTTAATTTTTACTAGTAAAGAAATAATAGATCTTATTTAGTTATAGGAATATTCTAATAAGAATATTATATTTAGTAAGATTCCTGAAATATTTCTACTAGATTATAAAATAAATATCTTTTATAATTTAGAAACTAGTTAGATTATTTTAGAATATCTTATTAATAGATAATAGACTCGAAATAAAATAGCTTAACTTAGAATCTTAGAATTCTAAAAGTAATATTTCTTCTTTAGTATTAGAATAGAATTCTTCTTAATAGTTTTTAAATTAATTTAAAATATTAGTTTTAGATTTAGGAAACTAGAATAAGTATTTTTATTTTAGTATTATAATAAAGGTCTTTTTAATAGGTTTTATATTAATTTAGGATCTTGGCTTAAGATTTAGTAAGCTAGAATTAGTATTTCTATTTTAGAATATATTTATTTATTATATAAATCCTCTTTTATTTTAGTATTATAATAGATTTGTTTTTATTATAAATTATTTTTTAATAATATATATATTTATTCTAAATTTATTATATAATAAAATATTAATCTAAAAACCATATAATATAATTCCTAAAAAAAAGCTAATATACTATAATACTTTAAAAACTATATTAAATCTAAGGCTAAATTAATCTAATAGTTACTAAGTATAAGTATACTATATTAGTAATACTAAAATAGTATAAGATATAAGATATATAATTTATAGCTTATTTCTATTCTTTTTTTACTATCTAGTATACTTCTAATATTATTTAGAAGCTAAGAGAAACCTAATTTATATATTTATTTCTTGCCTAAACTATAAAATAACTATATTTCTTATTAAAGTAAGTGAAATCTATTACTTAAAATACAAGGCTAGAACCTATAATTAGAAAAATACTTTAAATAATCTATAAAAGTAATAGAATAGTTATAGGCTACTTATAGCTAATTTAAGTAATTATTAGACTTTAGAAATATTAGCTAATATTCTTTTCTCTTAATATAATTTTTATAAAACTTACTAGAAAGTTAAATCTATATCTAATTATTCTTAAATCTTATATTTAATATTAGTTAATTCTAGAAGCTTAATAGAAATGAAATCTATTATATTATTAATAAGTAAATAATTAATACTTACTATACTAAAATAGATAGATCTAAAATAAAAGTAGAACTTAGTTACTTTTTTTATATATTAATAAATCTAATTATATAAATTCTCTATTTGAGTTAGTAAAGGTAATACTAGACTACTATTCTATATATACTAGAAAGAAGATAAAAAAATAAGTACAAGAATTAGTTATTTAGTACTTTTTTAAAATAATTATCTAAAGTATTATAGCTACTTTTCGAGTATTATTCTCTAGCTATATTTTATATAATCTCTAGCTTATAGCCTTAATAGCCTCTAGAAGCTATATATTAGGGATCTAGAGTTTAATATTAAACTCTATTATTTTAAAGAATAAAACTATTATAATATCCGAGAAGTAAAAAGATAAAGATAAAAGTAAAAGTAAAAGTAAAAATATAATTAAAGTAGCTTATAAGAAATATAAATATAATAGTAAAATAAAGATAATAGAAACTTCTATTAATATAGAAAGCGAAAATCGAGGAAAGAAAAAGCTAATTAAAACTTAAGAGTTTTAAAAAAGAAGTAATAGAAGTATAATATAAATATTAAGATTACGGGATTAATATTAAAAAAAAGAAGAATTAAAGAAGTAAAGTTACTTGAGACTAGTAAACTAGTAAGTAATATCTAGTAAGTCTAATATATAAAGCCTCTATTTATAAAAAAAATTATATTAAATCTAAAAAAGCAAAATGTTATATAACTCGTGATTTCCTAATTCTAGATAATACCTATTATAATTACTATTTAGTTCGAGTACTAAGCCTTATATTATATATCTTTATATAATTTATATATAATAATCTAGTAATAATTAGATTCTTAAAGCTATTTAGAAATATTTAAGACTAATAATATAGCTTAGTTATTTTTAATATTTAAGTAAACTAACTATAATTACTTTCTAGTTTATACTCTTTATTTATATATTTATATACTACTTTTAAGTTAAAGATTAGGTATTAGATTTACCTAATTATACTATTTTAGAAAGCTTTTAGTATTTGAATATACTTTTATAGATTATTATATACTGCCTTATATATACGGCCCATCCTATAGACTAGACCCAATTAGATATAGTAGAGGTTTAGTAATATAGTTCAGGAGATTAATCTCTTGAACTGAATTCCTGAACTTCTATAATATACTACTTTACTAATAATAAATATAACGAGTATTCTATAATTATATATAATAGTACTTAGTATTTCTAGTAAACTAATACTAAGATCTCTAGCTCAGTATTACGTTTTACTCTTATTTTCTAATACCGAGCCCCTAGCAGATTATATAGAAGTACTATTTATTATAGGTAATAAATAGAAATTATAATTATATAATTAAATAAAATAAAATAAAACTTAAAGTTATAATAAATATCTAGTATAGTAAGATAAAAAGAACTCGATAAAAGATTCAATTAAAGTTATATAATAGCCTTACTTATATTATTTATTTTTATTTATTTATTTTTATTTATTTATTTTTACTTATTTATTTTTAAGAAAATCTTCTAATTTCTTATATTTTATAATTAATTCTATTATTTCTTTTATTTTATTTAAGCTATTATAAACTTCTAATCTCAAGTAATTATAATATATTAGAAGAGATATTAGAAGTTAATAGAAAATTCTTAAGAATAAATTTATACTTTTTAGTTTTAAGTTATTTTTAAAGAAATTCTTTATTACTTTAGTCCCGAATTATATTTCTTTTCTCGAATTATAAATAATAGCCTTCTTTATAATTACTAATATAATTATAAATAGAACTTCAGGAAACTTAATAAATTCCAGTATATAACTAAACTATAATTCGAGTATTTGCTAGTAGATATTAAAAGCGATATTATAACTTATTACTATTACTATATTATAGCGCTTAATTCCTAACTAGGCTATAATATTCCCTATAGCGAAATAGTGCTTGGAATTAGCGATGTCTCTAATAAAATTAAGTTTATAGAGTATTAGAGAATGTTTCAAGCAGGGGAAGGCGGATTTGGCTTACCTCGAATTAATCTTGACAAGTCCTTTATTATTAAGCACAGCAACTCGCAGGTAATCTGTTGTTGGAATGCTCTTTGAAATGGCCCATATCACATGGCTAGCCATCGACTGAATACCATCTGACGTTGCGGGCAAGGGGTGCGTAGGCCCGCGGCCGGAGAACTTGAGGTATTTGCCTGGTGGTCGACTTTGTGGATTTTGGCTGGGTTGTAGGCCATTTCTGGCTTGACTGTTGTATCTCAGAGCGAGTGTTTTGGTTTGGTTTGGTTTGGTTTGTACTGGAGGGGAGGGATAGGGGAAGGGGAAGGGAGTACCTCAGCATGCCACGTCTGGCCGCCGTCCTCAACGCCAGCGCATATTAGCTGAGTGAACTGCCAAGCTAAGTATCTCACCCCATATGGAGGACCCTAACAGGTGCGCAGCTCGCATGTCGGTTAACTTAACGACAAAACTTGTTTGCTCGTGCTATATCACTACCTGGTGCTACTTCATGATTACTGAACCATCCCCCTAATTTAGGTCCTGATGAAACGGAAGATAGAGCTCTAGCTCGTCTAACCATTTCGTTGCAACTTCGAGTACGAATCCAGCAGCGGAATGATCCTAGAGTCTTCGTTCTTGCTTGCAGCAGCAAGAACACTCTCGTTGACGATCGCACCATGCTCTAACAATAGTCGAACAATTGGCTCGCTACCTCTCATGACCAATGCTGCCGTCAGTGCATTCCCATAATTACCACTGAGCATCATGTTGACGTCCGCCCCATGCTCAAGTAAGAGTTGCACGGTTGATTTGTTACGACCCCAGTCGTCCGCAGCTGCCGCTGCCGCTAGAGCGCTCCCGTAGTTGCCGCAAAGCCGCGAATTGACGTCTGCGCCGTGCTCCAGCAGCAATTTAACGACCGGTTTACTATATGGCCAATTCCTCGTTTCAGCAGCGGCGGCGGCCAAGGCGCTCCCATATTTGCCGCTAAGCGATTTGTTAACATCCGCGCCGTGATCAAGCATCAGCCGGACAGCCGTTTCGCTTTGTAGATGCCTATTCGCAGCGGCCGCTGCCAATGCGCTCCCGTAGTCCCCTTGGAGTGGAGTATTGACGTCTGCACCGTATTCCAGTAGTAACCGGACAACCGAGTCGAGGTCACTCTGGTCATCGTATTCGCACGATGCCGCTGTCGCTAATGCGCTCCCGTAAGTGCCATCTAGCCGGGCATTAACATCGGCACCACGTTCGAGTAACAGCACAATTATCTTCTTTGGGTTGTACGGTCCCGCTGCCGCTGCCCCTAAAGCGCTTCCGTAGGAGCCGCTAAGCTGTGCGTTAATATCTGCGCCGTTCTCTAGTAGAAGCCGCACCGTCCGTTCACAGCCTCTCCACGCTCCGGCCGCTAGGGCGCTCCCATACTCGCCGCTAAGTTGCGCGTTGACATCTGCACCATGCTCAATAAGCAGCTGAACTGCTCGTTCACTGCCGCTGTGTGCCGCCGCCGCCAGGGCGCTCCCATACTCGCCGCTGAGTTGCGCGTTGACGTCTGCGCCGTGCTCAATCAGCAGTTGGGCGACTAACTTATTCCGTTCATTTTCTCTTCCCGAATCTGAGCCAACCCAACTCCCCGCACCTGCCGCCAAGGCACTTCCATAATCTCCGCTGAGTTGTGCGTTGACCTCTGCACCGCGCTCAAGTAATAACCTTACTACCTTCATGTTCCCGCCCTCCGCTGCTGCTGCCAGGGCGCTTCCATAGAGACCGTCGAGCTTATTGTTGATTTTTGCACCATTCTCTAACAGAAGCCGGACGATTGATTCCTTACGGCACCCTGCAGCCGCAGCCAAGGCGCTCCCAAGGTAGGCGCTCCCAACCCAGGCTCTCCAACGCAAGGTGCTCCCACTCTGACTGCTTAGTTGTGCATTGACATCCGCCCCATGTTCAAGAAGCAGCCGGATAATTCCTTCCCTGTCCTTCCATCTCCCTGCCACTGCCGCCATCAGTGCGCTTCCTTCAACATCTCCAGCATGGGCATTGACGTCCGCGCCATACTTTAACAGCAGCCGAACGATCGATTCGTTGCCTTTCGACGCTGCCGCTGTAAGTGCACTCCCATAATCACCGCCAAGCTGTGCGTTGGCTATTGCGCCGTGCTCTAGTAGAAGCCGGACGATTGCTTCACTGTCTTCCCGCTTACTAGCCGCTGCCGCTGCCAGAGCACTCCCATATTTACTACTGAGCTGCATGTTCGGGTCCGCGCCGTGCTCTAGTAGAAGCCGGACGATTGCTTCACTGTCTTCCCGCTTACTAGCCGCTGCCGCTGCCAGAGCACTCCCATATTTACTACTGAGCTGCATGTTCGGGTCCGCGCCATGCTTCAATAGCAGCCGAATCACTGACTCTTCCCCTTCTGAAGCAGCCGCAGCCGCTAGCGCGCTCCCATAGGAGCCGCTCAGTTGCGTGTGGACATCCGCGCCCTGATCTAGCAATAGACAGACGACCGGCCCACTGCCTTTCCTAGACACTGCTGCTGCTAGGGCACTTCCATAGTCGCCACTGAGCTTTGCATTGACGTCTGCTCCTTGCTCAAGCAGCATCCGAACAACAATCTCACTTCCATTTCCCTTGCCAGACGCCGCTGCTGCCAATGCACTTCCGTGCGAACCTCCAATATAGGCATTGACGTTCGCACCATGCTCAAGCAGCAACATCGCGACCCGCAAGTCTTCACTGTCCAGTCTCTCCTCTGGCTCCATGAGGTTTAGCCAATCGCAGTTTGATAGTGCTGCCACTGACGCGGCTAATGCGCTCCCATAGGTACCATAGAGCGATGCATTTACATCAACACCGTGTTCAAGCAATAACAGGACGCCCCACTCATTTCCCGCTTTCGCTGCTGCCGCTAGCGCACTCCCGTGTTCTCCGAAGCCGCCAAATAACTGCGCGTTCACGTCCGCTCCATACTCTAACAACACTTTGGCGGTCGACTCCCTGCGATTTAACATTACTGTCGCCAGGGCGCTCCCATCGACGCCGCCAACCATGTTGACGTCAGCGCCATGCTCCAGCAGCAGGCGCACGACAGATTCTCTGTTGAATGACGTTGCTGTTGAAAGAGCACTGTTGTAGACGCCGTCAAGTTTCGCATTAACATCGGCGTCATGATCTAGCAATAGCCGAATTGTCGACTCGTTGCCTCCTTCGGCTGCCATGGCTAGCGCGCTTCTGCCCGCGCCCAATGTATTTACATTAGCGCCGCGATCCAGGAGTAGTTTCGCAATTTTCCAATGGCCATGCTTTGCCGCTAGAGACAATAAGGGTAACCCCTCTCGGGTTGTGAGTTTTACGTTGATAGCGGACTTAGAATCAAATTCTTGAAGGACCTTCCGTAAACCAAAGGCACAAATCGGTAGTAGGGCCAAATGAATAGGTTCCAAATTGAATACATGATTCGTAGACGTTGCCCCCAGGAAGGCTACAGGCGTCCGACGATACTTTATCGCATGGTGCCACTCTCTGTAGGCTGGTCCGGTATCTTCCAAAGAGCCTATAAACTCCATTTGCAAAGCCAAGAAGGTGGGATCCTCCGTATCGTCCATTGCACGGCAATGATTTGGCCAGAAATGTTGTGCATAGTAGATCAGTGGATTCAGAACCGTGGTTGCAGAGCCCTGACTCAACACAATCTTGGAAGATTTATGCTCTGTAAGATCTGGCGGCGGGACATTTCGAGTGTTCGGATGTATGAGTAGACGTAGACAAACGTAGGCTGTTAAACAAATGCCGTCTAGTATCAATTCTTGATGATTTCCCTCGAAGTATTCGCGCACAGAGAGATGTGATAGACGGAAAACATTAGTTTGATCCAGGACGACGAGGTTCGAACATGAGCTAAGTACGAAATCAACAGTTACGTCGACTTGCTGAGGCTCCTGGTCATCAAATCCCTGACACACAGCAGCGAGCATATGATCAGACGTGAGAGGAATGTGAGAGGAGAAGATCCACTGAAGAGTGCGTCTGGCAACTATTGGCTTGCTTCCTTTCTGGCATTGTAGTCTTGTGTAAATCTCGTCGTACGTCGCAGCAAGTCCTTGGGGGAGCGATCCGAGGCTAGACCGAATGTCTCGCTCTCTCTCAAGCTCAAGAAGTTGGGAGATTTGAAGCGATGCCCACTGAAACCTAAATTCAATTATCAGTATAAACTGAGACATAAAACTGCGAGTATTTATAATAAAACCAGGATGTACTTGCATTCCATCACTCTTTTGGAAAAGAGTCTCGACAATGTTGCTTCGCAGCTGGTCTGAGAGAGGTCTAGCTCGGTCCGCGGCGTCTTCATCGAGTCTCGCCAGTACAAATTTCTTGATGTCATCCTGATTTTTAGTCGTATTGACTTCCAGTACTGCCTTTGACTCAGACAGTTTGCGCTCGATTTCAGCGTCCCATCGGCTTGAGATCAGAATTCTCAAATTTGGTATATTGTGAACGAGACTGTTGAGCCGTTCTATCAGAACCGCCCTTGAAGACTTATCACACTCATCTAGTGCGTCAATAATGAAGGTGACGGTCTTGTAGGATTGCATGATTAGTCGGAGAAGAGTGTCTGCTTCTTCATTTGACAATTCTGCAGAAGAGAACCCGGAGCGATGCTTCTCTGCATATATCTCGGCCAGGGCGCCATGCAAGTACGTATTGTTGCTGGAAATGGAGAGCTGTTTCACAAAACTTCGAAGGACACTAGCTACGTTGCGCCGAGCATCTTCGTTACGGTTGCAGTAGAAGAAAGCGAGAGCCTCGTCCACTTGCAGGGGTCCTTTCAAGAATGAGGCTATGACATGAGCGACCAGCTTCGTCTTACCCGCGCCAACTACACTGGGATTAAATACCATGGTTGGATAAAACCATTGATTCTTTGCTTACCATTTCCATGTATCCACAGAATTTGTCCGGAGCTCCCCCGATACCAGGAAATGTAGCTGCTGTTCCGAAAAATCCAGTCGCCAGTGCCAGAAACATGTTCTCTGTAAGCTAATTCGTGGTTATCCTTGAACGGCACCGTTGATGTCCACATTAGAATTTTGGCCTTCTTGTTGTCCTCAAGGTGGGTCCACATGGCGGTACCGGGGATTCCATTCGACTTGCGTATTTTTCTCTGGAGCCTATCTAGTGCCTTACGCCGCCCCTCGCCGTAAATGAGTGTCATATGGATATCGAAAATGCCCAAGAGGCAGTACGCAGTATCTTCTTCAACTGTTGTCTGACGGGTTTGCGCCCACGAAAATCGCTCATCGATGGAAAATTGAGCTAGAGACTCTCCTTGAAGGATTTTGAGAGGAATTCCGGTAATATGATGGATATCTTGCGCTCTAGAGACTTTGCTCCCTAAGAACTGGCCTTTGTGTGAAAAAAAATGTACTTTTGAGGGCGCTATTAGTTCTTGAAGTGTCCAACCCCGCTTAAACCATCTGCTGGCAGAAAAGGATTCCACGGTAGATGAGTGATCCTCGGGATCAGGAACGTCGGAAAGATATACATAGCATAGAACGGCTTCCTGGTACCAACGAAACATGGAGTTGATGGCTCCTGAAAGTTCGGTAAAATCCGCCTTATTGATACAACAAGTATCAATCCAGACATAATTCAGCCCATCCAGATCTGCTTGCTTCGCACAAAAACGGAGCTTGTCCAAGCCAGGTTTGTTTTTGCCTGTGCCGTTGATCAGGTCTTCATAGCTGACCTCGTCGCCATCCGGTCCCCATGTGTGGGAAAGGATGGCGTACTTCTGGGCCTGATCACCGGTTCGCTTGACCAGGCTCAGCTCGCCATTGTCGTTAAGCTTCAGAAGGCGCATACTAGTAACGAACAGAGTAGGCTGCTTGTATCGAACAATTTCACAGTCTCTCACAGCTGGCGCGCTCAGAGATGAACGAGTTTGAATGTTGGTGGCGGAAGACGGACAGCAGAGCTGTACAGCCGCAACTTGGCGGGGAGATGGAAAGTTTTGGACATAAGCTTTCTGGAGTCCCAGAAGGATGGAGATAAGATCACGTAGGTGAAAGACACGTGGCAGCCTTGGGAGTGGACTGGTTTAGCGTATTATATGGAACAAGGATTGAGTATGGAGCGACCTATCCGTTAAGTGGGCGGTTCGCTTGCCAATTTTAGCGTGCACGGGCCACATTTACCCTTCAAATTAATAAACAAATATACTGTCGGTTCACCAGTAACGCGTAGCACCGTCACGTAATATCGTGGAATGCTAGTTGTGTTGGTTTTTCTAGAGTAAAGTAACTTCTAGTTAAATTATCCCGTAATATATCTAATTAAAGGTAAGAGCCTCCTCTTAATTTATAAGAACCTCTATTAAAAGTTCTCTCTCTTCTAGAGTTAACTTATCTCTAATAATTAACTATTCTACTTATTTCTTTATTAAATAGGAGCTAGAAGAGAGATTAGAAAAGCATCTAACTAATTTATTTAGGTCTCTGTATTTTCTAATATAATTTAGAGCTAGTTTTTCTAAACGTGCTTTCTAAAACTAATTATTATTACTAAATAGAGCTTTTCTTATTAATATTTCTAGATTTATTAGATATATTTTATTTATCTTTTGCTTATATAATGTTTTAATTTAAATTAATTATTATAGAGTACTATTCTTTAATATTAGTATAAAGAATATTAAAGCTAAAGGTCTCTTTTAGTTCTTCTTAACTTTATTAAATAGAAAAATAAAAGAATCTTCTTTAAAAGAATAAGGGATTTAAATAATATAAATATTAATATTAAGTTCAGGATTTCTATTCTCCGAATTTCTTCTTAAGTTTAGCTTAAGATTACTATTTAAACTACTTTCTATAATAGAATTATATAGGTTTCTAGATCTTAGAACTTTCTTTTTCTTTCTTTTTCTCTTACTAGTATACTATCTAGTTCTTATACTAGCTTTTAGTTTTCTAACTCATTGCCTTTTACTAGAATTAAATTACTAGTAATATTTACTATTACTATTTATTTACGGTTACTATTTCTTAGTTTAGTTCTAACTACTTTATCTAGTTTATAGAGGAATATTAACTTGGTTTTAATAAAGTAGTATATACCTAAAAGGAGATTAGTAATTCTATTATTAATAACTAGAAAGTTTACGAAATTAATTAATTCTCTAATAATAACTTTAATATATTAGTAAGTACTAAGAAAGAATACTTTACTAGAACTAATACTTTAGAAAACGAGATTTCTTTTAGTTTTAATAGCTAGATTACTCTTATTAACTAGCTTCTTAGATATTATATTAATTTTAGCCTTATTATTAAGTATTATATAAACGTGTATTTTATTATAAATAATAACCTCTATCTTTAGTATATATATAGCTAGACTAGAAATATTCGAAGTATTTAGAGTAATAGTATAAAGAGATATTACTTCGACTTCTTAACTCTTTTTAAGAGTAATATATATATAGAGTCTAAAAGTAGTAATAGTATTAGAAAAACTATCTATTACTTATATATCTTATATATTTTATAGTCTTTATATTCTAGTAATCTTATTCCTAACTTAATAATTATTACCTTTAGTTTAAGGTATAAAAGAACGCCTTTAATTAAAAATCTAAATAAGAGAGATATCTAGTAAGGAAAAGAGATTTTCTAGATATATATTAATATAGTTATTTATTAGTTATTAAAGAATAGCTTTAGCTTTTTCCGAAGTCTTGTATTTATCTATATACTAAGGATACTTTCTTTTTTTTAGAAGTACTTAATTAATTAGAGCTTTAGTTATTTCTTTATTTATAATTTCCTTAATATTTATCCCTTCGTCTGTCGGAAACTGTCCAGTACTAGTAGGGGGGGTGTGGCTGTATACAAGCCTCTTAAAGTATAACAAAGCAAGGTGGGGCTTATATATAGCCACACCCCCCCCCTGCTAGCACTGGACAGTTTCCGACAGACGAAGGGATATTATTTTTTAGTAAGACTATATTATTTTTATTATTACTAATTATAGTTCTAGATTCTTAAATACTAGATACTTTTATACTATAGTAAATAGTATTATAGTAACTCTCTTTATCTAGTTAAGTCTTAGTTATTCTTAATAAATTACTAAAACTTATAAACTTAGCTCTTCTTTTCTTAATTATTATAGTATTTATACTTAAGGTTTCTAAAGAAATAAAGCCTTTAGGAAATAAACTATAATTTATACTAGTTCCAAAGATACTATAATAGGGATATAAAACAAGTAGTAATATAGATAGTAGAATGGGCTTCCATAGCATGGGATTACAGCGTACGAGTGAGACGTAAAATTAGAGAGTAAAGGTTAATTGATTTCTAAGAACTAAGAAGGAAAGAGGGGTAATATAAGCGGACTGCGGACTATACGGATGTCCGGAGGTCACATGACAGAACCACGTGACCAGGGGATAAAATCCCCACCACATACTTCCCCCACCCACAAGTGCTCGTCCCCTGAGCATATTCGCAAGAACAAGAGCCAAAAACCACCCGTAAAGTAATATAATAATCGAAAACCTATCATATGCTTTGCCTTATATATGCCCTGACTTCAAACCACTGTATTCCCATACCCAATTCGTTACTCAAGCACTAGTAAACACTCCATTTTCGCATTATACGAACCATACAAATCATACGAACCGTGCCCAAAGCACCCGTAGACTCTCTTTGACACTAAACATACCCAAGGTATAAGGAAACACTCGCTTTAATACTAAATATACCCAAAGTATAAGGAGATACTCTTTAATACTAAATCGTGCCCAAAGCATAAGGAAAAGCTCTCTCTCTCTCTCTATCATATTATACGAATTACACCAAAGCACTAGTAGACACGCACTCTCTCTCTTTAATACTAAACGTGCCCAGAGCACAAGGAAACACTCTTTGACACTAAATATACCCAAAGTACAAGAAAAAACACTCTCTCTTTAATACTAAATATACCCAAAGCACAAGGAAATACTCTCTCTGCCGCATTATACGAATCATACCGGAGCACTAGTAGATACACTCTCTCTTTAATACTAAACGTGCCCAAAGCACAAGGAAACTCTCTCTTTAATACTAAACGTACCCAAAGTATAAGGAAATACTCTTTAATACTAAATCGTGCCCAAAGCACAAGGAAATACTCTCTTTAACACTAAACATACCCAAAGTACAAGGAAATACTCTCTCTTTTAACACTAAACGTGCCCAAAGCACAAGGAGATACTCATTAATACTAAACGCACCCAAAGTATAAGGAAACACTCTCTTTTAATACTAAATCGTGCCCGAAACACAAGGAAACTCTCTCTTTAACGCTAAACGTACCCAAAGTATAAGGAAATACTCATTAATACTAAACGTACCCAAAGTATAAGGAGACACTCTTTAATACTAAATCGTACCCAAAGCATAAGGAAATATACCATTTCGTATCATACAAATCGTGCCCAAAGCACCACGTAAAGCACTTACTAAGAGCACCTAAAATCGTACGAAATATGTGCCAGTACCTCTGCTATTACCGCCGTAATACAGGCATTACTAGTCTTAAAGGAGGTAAGGGGAGGTTCGAAAATCGGAAGAGGGAACCGTAAATCAAAGAGGGAAGCATAAAGTGAAGTGTGTGCCAGAAACCACTATAACTACTATTGCAACCACAGAAATTACTAGACTTGGAATCAAATAAGAGGGAGGTAAAGAAGTATCGAAAATCGTCGAAATTATACGGAATTAAATCCATTCATGCCCACTATATAGCCCCAGCTTTGCGTACCATATATGCCACTACTTGACTAACCCATACCGGCATCTCGTCGTCTTCGTCCGCCTGGAATGGAGATTCGTACTCTTGTAATTGCATAGCAAGAGAAGCTAAAGGCGAAGGTAAAGGAGGGCTTTTAATATTATGCGGCCAATTAGGAAAGAGATACAAAGGAAGGGAAAGAGTCATAAAAGATATAATCCCAAGGCATATATAATTGAGCTCTTGCCAGAGCAGCTCTTTATAATAAGAAAGCAAGCTTTGGATATCGGAGTCGGAAGAATCTCTATATTATACGAGCTCGTCAATATACTAAAAGTAAGTATAAGAGAGCTATAAAGCATCTAGCTTCATAAATAAAGGAGAAGAGCCGAAGTCGACAGAAGTAGCCATTGCGTAATCGGTAGAATTAATAGAAATTAATGCAAGTACAAAGTAGTCATAATCAAGCCATAAGAAGATAGTCTTAAACTAATAAAGGATATTATTATTATACGAATTAATGCAATTGGGGCTAAATCCTAAAGCTAAAAGCTTGGCAAAGAATAGAGAAGTAAAGAGAAGACTATATAGCCAGTAAAATTAGAAATCGAAGCGAATGCAAAGCAGTTATAAAGCAATTGAAATTCAGTCATAAGAAGAGAGCCTTAAACTAAGGATATCGTCGTACGAAATTAATATAATTAGGGCTAAATTATAAAGCTAAAGCTCGGTACGCTTGAATATAGTCATAAAAGTAAGTAAAAGAGAGAGTCTTGAACTAAACAGGAAAGGTTACCGTCGTCGTACGAATAACGCAATTAAAGCCTGAGAGTGATATCTAGCAAGAGAGAATAGAGAAGTAGAAGACGAGATTACGGCGTCCGTAGAATTAGCGGAAAATGCGGTACGCTTGCAGGTAGTCGTAAAGGTAAGTAAAAGAGGGAGTCTTGAACCAAACAGGGACGTCATTACTGTCATACAAATGACGTAATTAAAGCCTGAATTATAAAGCTTGGCAAGAGAGAACAGAGAAGTAGAAGACGAGATTGCGGTATCCGTAGAATTAGCGGAAACCGAAGC